CAACCAGTCCAAGGGCTCCAACTACAAAAGGGATTGTTGATGTTCCCATATGCCACATTTTCGAGTTTTCTATTTCAAGGTCCTTGTAATTTGACAGCTTTTTGAATATCTTCAAAGATACATTGCAGACAGCAGGGACTGCCGTATTAATAAGGAGGCACTTTTTTTTGTTTGTGGTCTTTATTATTATGATTATTATTATTATTATTATTATTAATATTATTATTATAAGTGATTAGAACAAAAACATGTTGAAATCGCTACACAATAGCTTTCTGGTGATTAAATGATTTAATCACGAGTCAGTTACCATCGCCTGAAGAGGCACAACGTAGTGTTGAAACACGAAAGCTATTGTGTAGCGATTTCAACATGTTTTTTGTTCCAATCATTTATAATAAAAATAATAATATGTAGCCCTACTTTTTATGGAGCACATTTTAAAAAATGAAATGCTACGAACAGTGGGATATTACTCCAACTCTTCTTACATTTGTATACATATATATATATATATATATATATATATATATATATATATATATATATATATATATATATATATATATAAACCAGGCAATCGATACGTTGGTATATAATCTGGGTGGTTCCTAGTAATATTAATTATTAAAACTGATCCGCAGAGAGAACGAAGTTTTTATTTTTTAACAGAGTATATGTATTTTTACAGCAAAAAAAAATAATAAATAAAAAAAATTACCTCAACATCGATATAGTCTATTTCAAGCCGTTCTGCATACAGCTATCATCAGTCTCTAAGTATATATATATATATATATATATATATATGTGTGTGTGTGTGTGTGTGTGTGTGTGTATATGTGCTTGTGAGCAAATGTGTGTGTATTACAGGTCATACATATATATATATGTATGTATGACAGGTCATACATACATATATATATATATATATATATATATATGTATATATATATACACACATTTGTACACAATACACATTTGCTCCTAAAAATTGTGTGTGTAATACAGGTCATATATATATATATATATATATATATATATATATATATATATATATATATATATATATATATATATATATATATTGTAATACAGGTCATATATATATATATATATGTATGACCATGTCCCCACACACATTTGCGCAATAAGCACGCATACACATACGCACACACTCACATATGTACACAAACACACACAGAAAAGAAAAAATCAACGTTACCTCAATAATAGTAGCACCCCAATTAGCACATGAATTATTTACGTCATATACGTGAGAAAATGTCTGGACTCTTAAGTGTGTAAAAGTTACTGAGATACAGTAGGATATTCATGAATAATGGATCTGCAGAAACATGGTGACGTAATATAGTTTTTTTTAAACGTCAGTTAATAGCTAAAAACTACGTGACGTCGCCATATTTCTATAGATCCATTATTAATGAATCTAATTTCTCTCTTTAGAGTGCATAAAAATCAACATATATACAAAATACGCATGAGATAGGCTTTAATGAAAAATCAAACCAAATCAAATTTTTTCAAAACAGCCTGCTGCGTCTCAATAATTTTTACAGACTTTCGCATCCAGAATGTTTTCTTACACTTATTTGAATATTATCTGTGACGTCATTACACGTGACACGTATCTAACCAATAAGAAATAACCAAACACAAGATGCCGTTAATCTGCGTCTCTTTGGTTATTTTTTTATCATTGCTATCTTGATATCTGACGAAGCTTCAATAAAGTGAAATATGTTAGATTGAGATCTGTTTCCTGCTTGTTCTTTATCCTTTCATTTCTATCTATCTATCTATCTATCTATCTATCATCTATCTATCTATCAGAACAACATCCTATCTATCTATCTATCTATCTATCTATCAGAACAACATCCTAATCTATCTATCTATCTATCTATCTATCTATCAGAACAACATATCTATCTATCTATCTATCTATCTATCTATCTATCAGAACAACATCCTAATCTATCTATCTATCTATCTATCTATCTATCTATCTATCTATCTATCTATCAGAACAACATCCTAATCTATCTATCTATCTATCTATCTATCTATCTATCTATCAGAACAACATCCTAATCTATCTATCTATCTATCTATCTATCTATCTATCTATCTATCTATCTATCAGAACAACATCCATATCTATCTATCTATCTATCTATCTATCTATCTATCTATCTATCTAATAATAATAATCTTATAAATATAAGTAATATACTCATCCGGAAAAAAAAAATCTTAGGTGTTTTGGCTTGTAAATGAAGAAACCAATACTCAAGAAAAATAAGAACTTAAAAAAAGAAAGAACTTAGCACATGTCATTCAGACGAAATCAATCGACCAGAATCCCACCTCTGAGTCCAAAGAAAAAAAAAACTCCAACACGAGTAAAGTAAAAATAGCTAAGCAAAATGCTCAATATACTAAGTAGAGGAAATCTAACAATGAACCTAAAGAGCCAGGCAAACCTACCTAGGTTTGACCTATGCGGATCGTCGGGGTACGCACCCCACTGACGATCCGCGTAGGTGAAAACAGGTAGGTTTGCCTGGCTCTTTAGGTTCATAGTTATCTATATAGATGGATAGAGAGACCCATCTATCTATCTATCTATCTATCTATCTATCTATATATATATATATATATTAAATAAAACAGACCACTTAAGGTTCCACATTGAGCTCTCTGGATTTTATCTTCCTTAAGTTTACCCACACGGATTACCTAGTTTTCATAAACTAAATATATATATATATATATATATATATATATATATGAATAGATAGATAGATAGATAGATGAACAGAGTGCCTCCTATATATATATATATATATATATATATATATATATAGAGAGAGAGAGAGAGAGAGAGAGAGAGAGAGATAGGTTTGGATGCTGAAAGTAACATCAATCAGCTAAGTGATAAAACTTTTACTTATATTAATTCTATATATACATATTCTATATATACATATTCTGTATATATATATATATATATATATATATATATATATATATATATATATATATATATATATATATTCAACGTTTGAAGCCACCCCAAGAAGTTGAATGGAATGAACTTGTCAGAAGAGTGAAAAAAGAAAATGAAAAAGATATCATAGAATCAAAGAAACCTAATGGAATCAATGAACAAATTCATTGTGAAATTATTGCGACGAATGCGAAAAATTTTGTGGTGCAGTTATCAAGGCTAAATTTCCCAGCAGTGACCTCAAAATTTTCAACTGTAGTACATATATATATATATATATATATATATATATATATATATATATATATAATATATAAAATATGTAGTGGTTCCAACGAGAAAAATTATGTATATTAAAAGAAGAGAAGAGAGGTACCGCAAACGTTTTTGGTTGTAATGTGGATTTATTTAGAAAAATATTATGCTTTGTTTTACATAATTTTACGACACGTGTTTCTGGCCACGCGACCGTCTTCAGGTAAAAGTGGAGATTTCCACATATTATTAAAAATAATTAAATTTTCCTTATGTTCAATGTTAAATATTCTCGATATGAGACATTCTCTGTTTATGTGTTGGTAATCCGAATTTCTTTCTTGAATTGGCAATGAAGAGTTATATATATATATATATATATATATATATATATATATATATAGGCACGGTGCAGTAGTTGGTAGCGGCTCAGTTTGAGCAATCGAGTTCGAATTCCAGTCGAATCCATTACATTCACTTACGAATGAATCCTCTCCCCCCCCAAAAAAAATAACAGAGCTGAACTGGAAAATGAAAAACTCTGAAAATTCAAAACCTGCGGAAGGTTGTTTGGGGATCTTGTGGCATGTGCTGCATCGTCGAATACGAAGGCTGTTTTCCGGCATATATATATATATATATATATATATATATATATATATATATATATATATATATATATATATGTGTGTGTGTGTGTGTGTGTGCATTATTTACATTATACTATGGTCCTCATCTTTGTCGCCATATTTATTACAATGATTTGGCTGTTGTACGCTCTGGACTTCTTCAGGTGGTCGGAATGGCGAACTGAACCCTTTATTTTGCTCGCAGGAGTAGACTGTTCTAGTTCCACGTGCCATGTTTAATTGATGTCAGTTACCAGTTATCTCCTGTTAATTTCCCTCGCCAAGATCTCCACTGCCTTAACCAGGTACAGAACTCACACTCTTTGGGTCCTGTCACTGGATCTAACCGACGCCTTTATCCACTGTGCCATGTGCCCTTGAGGGTTCAGTTCGACATTCCAACCACCTGAAGAAGGCCGGAGCGTACAACGGTCGAAACGTTGTAATAAATATGGCGACAAAGATGAGGATAATAGTCTAAATAATGTAAATAGTGTACATAATACCACATTTCAGAAATATAGACAGATCTAGGAAGTTTTTTTTTTTTTAAAGAGGATGGAAAATTTAACACCGAAATCCGAAAGTTCATTGGGATACAGAAAGATGCCTTCTAAAAGCTAAGCAAAGTATTAAGAAACATTGATTGATTCGGTATTTAACCGAACTCCCCAAAGAGCGGGATTTGGCACAAGGCTCGGGAAAAATTCCCCGTAGACCCCACATACCTCAAAGAGACTCTGCCCATAGGCAAAGCCTCGTCTGAGCTCCCCTCTACCCGAAAACAGAGAGCTCGTTAAGCTAGATCTTTGATAGATTTTTCGTTTTTTTATTTTTTATTTCTATTTTGCGACTTACCGAACTTCGAATTACTTAAAGGAACATGGTATTGTATTGTAATATTTTTTTTAGATAATTAATTTTTTCTAATACAAGTTAAGGCACAGCTGGAGAGAAGAGGTGAACTCATATCTTTCCCAAGCGTGTAAGTGAATATAATGAACCCAATTGGAATTGGAACTCGTCTCACCGATTTCACAAATCCGAGCCGTTAACAATGACACAACGCTCACATCCAAATTTACAGCACCAGATATTCCGAAGAGGTTACCAATCTTGGTACTGACCAAACTCGATGTTACTTAACTTTTGTGATCGAACGAGAACCGATGTTTCCACAGAATATAGCCGTAAGCAATATTAAGTCACAGGAAGATCATGTTAACAAAGCAAACTTACTGACTGTAATATCGGCCCTGCTATACTGAAACGAATGTTGGACAGTCTCATTAAAGATTGAGAAGGAACGTGAGGCAACGAATATATGGTTCTACAGAAGGATACTGGGAATATCATAGACCGATCATGTGAGTAACGGCGAAGTTTTAGAGAAGACAGAAACAAAAAGGACACTTATACTTAACATGCGAAATGCAGCTGAAATTTCTAGGGTAGCCAATGAGGAAAATTTGAGACGCACAGGAGGTACTGTAGGCACGAGTGACAGAGGGAATCAATGAATAACGCCTAATGAGATTGTGTAAATGGCTGACATGGCAGGAATTAGGAGAGATCGCAGAAAGATATAATTTACTATGAGCTACAAAAGACAGGAAATTGTGGAGAGTCTAGATCGCCCACATTCTGAAGAGACAGAGGAAAGCATCACATAACATACCTAACGAGCTTCTGAAAATGGTTAGCAGAACAGGAATTAGGAGAGATAGCAAAAAGATAGAAATTACTAAGAGCTGCAAAGGACAGGAAATTGTGGAGAGCCTTGATCACCCACATTCTGAAGAAGAAGAAGAAGAAGAAGTCAATGAAGAAAAAGAAGAAGAGGTGGGAGAAGAAGAAGAGGAGGAGGAGGAGAAGAAGAAGAGTTGGAGAAGAAGGAAAAGAAGAAGTGCAGGTGAAGAAGAAGAAAAGGAAGAGTAAAGAAGAAGAAGAAAAAGAAGAAGAAGAAGAAGAGGAGGAGGTGGAGTTGAAGAAGAAGAAAGAAAAGGAGGTATAGAGGAAGTAGTAAAAGGAGGAAGTGAAGAAGAAGAAGAAGAAGAAGAGGAGGAGTAAAGAAGAAGAAGAAGAAGGAAAAGAAGGAGGAAGTGAGGAAGAAGAAGAAGAAGAAGAAGAAGAGCAGGTGAAGAAGAAGAGGAAGAGTAAAGAAGAAGAAGAAGAAGAAGAGGAGGAGGTGAAGAAGAAGGAAAAGAAGGAGGAAGTGAAGAAGAAGAAGAAGAAAAGTTGGAGAAGAAGTAGAAGAGCAGGTGAAGAAGAAGAGGAGGAGGAAGAGAAGAAGAAGAGTTAGAGAAGAAGGAAAAGAAGTACAGGTGAAGAAGAAGAGGAGGAGTAAAGAAGAGGAAGAAGAAGAGGAGGAGGAGGTGAAGAAGAAGGAATAGGAGGTATAGAAGAATCCGTAAACGAAGAAGAAGAAGAAGAAGAAGAAGAGGAAGAAGAAGAAGAAGAAGATTATATGACAAATTGTAAATAATACTGTAGAGTATCTCTAGTCAGACGTTTTTAAAAGAAAGATTTATATATGAAGCAGAAAGCAAAGAATTCCAGAAAAAAATATTTCTGGTTTTGTAGCTTCTGCTTGTGAATTGAAATAAGATTTAATATCATTTAGAAATTGATGAATGCAAAAAAGAGTGTAAATTTAAACAGACTTGTAGAAATGAAAGAAAAAATGTCGAAAAGTTCCCATAGAAAAAATTACTGATATTAATCTACTAAGGCAGCCGAGTATTTTCAGTGCGCCCACATAGCTACCAAATGTGACGCAAAGTCAAGGTTTAAAGTGGGTTTACCGGCAAAACAGCGGAAAATTTCCTAAACCCCCTCGTCACTTCACATCTAATGGTAAGGAAATCTAGAAAAGTACGATTTGATGAAAAAAAAAACAAATAGATAAATTTGATAAAAAAAAAAATGAAGAACGAAATGTATAAATCAGAGATTTTGTCCAGGTAACAAAGATTATATTTCTGTTTAAATTGATGGAAAGACTGTGAAGCGACAGAAATAGCTCATCTTTGTACACAAAGACACTTCCCTGTCCGCCATGGCTGATGCTCGACTCGGTAAGAGTATATCACTGTGTCTCCTTGGCCTCACGCTTTCCAATGATTTGAGGTGGAACAATTACATTGAATCAATAGATGCATCTATCGCAAGGAAAGTCGGTACGCTCTGTCTCTGCCAGAAAGCTTTTCTCGTCAGAGTCTATCTTACACATCTACAAATATATCATTCGTCCATGCATTGAATATTGTTGCCATATCTGGTCTGGCGCTCCTGCTGTTCATCTAAAAGTTCTCGATAAAATCCAAAAGAAGGATATGTAATGTGATAGGTCCTGACTTGACATCTCGACTTCAGTGACTTTCTTACAGGTATCATGTGGTTTCCCTCTGTCTTTTCTACAAATATTTTCATGGCTATATTCCTTGATACCTCGTTTACATGAATTTAAGCGTGGTACTAGATTGGCATTTATATCCCACCCTTTTACTGTTGGGATAGTTAAATGCAACCGCCACTTCTATTTCAGCGGTTTCTTTTCTTGCTCTTCCCGACAGTGGAATTCCCTTCCTCTTACTCGCTTCCCTGATAAGTACAATCTTCAAAAATTTAAATGCAATGTCAATCGCCATCTTTTTTTACCTTGATCCTCGTTCTTCTTTTATCTTTTCCTCACCCCCCCCTACACAGTCTTTTCCCTCCCTTTCACCCTCTGTAACCCTGTTCTAACCTAGAAAGTGTTACTGAATGAGGAATAACCAAAACGGATGTTGAAAAAGAAATGATACTCTTTATAACATCAACAAGAAACAATACTCGCCAGCAGCATAAAGTAGGTAAACCACCACTAGTGGTGGACTACTTAGACACCATATTACACCCACTTACAATAGTGTCTAACATATTTATGAGGATTGGGAGATACCCATCTGTGTTCATAGATATGGTATATAACAACCCCACCCCATGCGTGCTAGTGGCACTCCCGACTTGCTTGGGGGTGAAATACTTAAAAAGTATTTTAAAAAATGAAACAAATGTACATTGAAAATTCTATGTAAATAATGCACAGTGTACGTGCGTCCGTCCATCCGTCTGTTTTTCAATCTCGACGAATTATAAATAAACTGGATCTGAAGTAACGGTTAGTAACTAGTGTAGTTACATTTAAAATAAAATTTAAATATCGAACAGTGAGTGAAACGGCTTTTAAAAAAATAATTCTTTATTAAAAGCTTAACTTTAATTTCGCTTTTCGTCGCAATTGAAATTGATATCGTTTAATTAAACCGTAATTAAATCTTTAGCGGGGCACGGTACGTTGCTCATATGTTTTTTTTTCTAGCACGCGTCCTGTATCTTATTCGGAATATTGCATAGTTCGGATTCCCTAATGTCTTTTAAGAGTGACTTTATGTAAAGGGTTAAAAAAAAAGAATGGTGATTTTAAAAGAAAATAAAAAGTGCATGCAAAATAAATGTAAACAAACTACAAAGATCGGTTGCGTATACGAAGAAAGATTACGCCGAATGAAGGTGTGGAATAAAGATAAAATGATTTTATTATTCTTAAATTCTTATAACTTTTATGTCCATAGGACGCCGAAGGTAAACGACTGAAGGCCCAAAATCCCACTTCAGGAGATAGCTTAAAGTCCGACTAAAATTGAACTGTAATTAAAACTTTAGCGGGGCATGGTACGTTGCTCATATGTTTTTTTTTTTTTTTTTTTCTAGTACGGATACTGTGACTTATTCGAAATATTACATAGTTCGACTTCACTAAAGTCTTTTAAGTGTTACTTCATGTGAAGGGATCATGAAGAATGATGGTTTTAAACGAAAATAAAAATTGCGCGTAAGAAATGTAAACAAACTACAGAGATCGGTTGCGTATACGAAGAAAGATTATGCCGAATTAAAATTTCGAATAAAGGCAAAATAATTTTATTATTTCTAAATTCTTATAACCTTTTACGTAGATACGAAGCTTAGGATAAAGGGCCGACTGCCAAAACTCCCTCCATAGCAGCTAGGCTAAAATCCGCACCAAGGGCATCATATAGGCTTGTAATATAAATAAAGTACATGTGCGGCATTAAAAATGTTACAGATTTCAAATGAATTCTAATTCTTAATTTTTGGTTATTACATTGCAATTTATGATTTGACAATCGTCCAACAAAATAAACTATTTATTTTTTCAAAGTGTTTTAGCATTTACAAGCAACAGTGACTCTAGAAATTAAAAGTAAGTGTACAATTGATCAACATGAACACGTACTGACTCCACCTGTGATTTTTAAAGCTGAAAAGCAACTCAGCATCAATAGAATGTTTATCAAAAAGACAATCGATCGATACAACAAGACTTCCTCTATCAAAGACACACCGATACCTTGGAGGTCCTCGCACTTCCAGAACATCAAAACACTTTAAGCAGATGCGTGAGAAAAATCAGGCGTGATCCAAGATGGTCAATCAGAAAATTGTCCAAGGAGACCAGAACACCGGAGAGAACAATGCGTAAGTTATGTCGAAATGATCTAGGGATGTCGTCCTACACGATAAACAAGAGACAGTCTTTTTTTCTCAGCAGAAACAATAAAAAAGAGCGTTCAAAGACGCAGGCAGTTGCTGAAACGGATTCGGGGGTTGCATGTCGCAAGAGATCTATCTCAGTTTGTTCCTTCCTTCCTTCCTATCTATCTATCTATCTATCTATCTATCTATCTATCTATCTATCTATCTCAAATTGTTCCTACCTTCCTATCTATTTATCTATCTATATATATATATATATATATATATATATATATATATATATATATATATATATATCACTAATTCATCTTCCTTTTTCTTATTTTTTACTTTCTTGATTTTTCTCATTTTTGTTTCACTATCCCATTCCATTCATATCTATCTATCTATCTATCTATCTATCTATCTATCTATCTATCTGTCTGACGTATCTATCTATCTATCTATATATCTATCTGTCTATCTATCTATCTATCACTAATTCATCTTCCCTTTTCTTATTTTTTTCTTTCTTGATTTTTCTCATTTTTGTTTCACTATCTCATTCCATTCATATCTATCTATCTATCTATCTATCTCAAATTGTTCCCCTTTCTCTATAGCTATCTATCTCAAATTGTTCCTACCTTC